GACTATATATGTTTCAATTACATATTGTTGAAAAGGGAAGAATGAAACCATTAGCAAAAATAATATTAAAATTTTAATTGATTTATTGATGTTTTCAATTCGTTTTGAGTTGAAAGAACGTCAGTTGACATTTGAAAATGTATTAAACGCAAACAAAACGTATGTTTCGTCTATGAAATTTAAAAAATATGACTGTAATGTTATTTCCCTATGCATTCTAAATTTTTGCAATATTTATTTTTCTTCTTTCCTAATTTTCTAAATTACTCGAGACTCCATATGAACAAGCAACATTACACGCACACACGACAATAAAAATTACTCCTTCAGTATCAGTGTTGAAGTATAAAGTAAATATTATTAATATCTTCAATAAAAGAAGAAAATGACTTAATATGTAGCACGACTGGAACTGGAAAATGGCTTTAATGAATTACATGATTCTTACGGAAGGAGTTGGACGAAAGTTATTTAAGATGAATAAGTACAATATAGAAAAAATGCGTGATAAGATATCTTAACACAACTTGAAACTTTTTTATGAGGAGGCATACACAGTTTTTTTTATGAAAATTCTTAGGTACAGTTCTAACAATTCTTAATTCAGATGTAAAAGACAAACAGTTTCACAAATATGAAAGATATCATCGTGAATTTTAATAAGTGAATGAAGGATAAGGTTTGACAACTCAGATTATAAGGTTTTGAAGATAAGAGCATTCAAAATTATCCACTATTTTGATTCCTATACAACGCAATGTACATTGCGTTGCATTTTAATGCATAAATATTTCACAATTGGACAAATGACTCCAGGGTTTGTAAATACTAGGCGTAATGATCACACTATACCTTTCTCTCTATTCTTGTAGACGGGATGCAGAACAAAGAAAGCTGAAGAAGGAAAATGAAAGGTCATTTTGAAAAATTACACGTGCATTTAATAACATTTATTTACAAGATTTTGTATAACAACGTAGATTTTAATACCTTGTGTACAAAGTGATCAAAAACATAAATAGGTTTTAGAAATCTAGGATCGCCTAAAATACTGCGTCAATAGGCAAGTGATGTGTTCACGTATACGTGATTTAAATGTGTAATTGTGTAACAAACTAAATAAGAAGTACATTTACAACAGATAAAACATTGTTGCACTACTGTTAGTTATGCGTTTTTTCATCGGGTCACTTTCTTTGTTGCACGTTAGATAACTGCCTTCTCATGATGACTTCAAAGGCTTTGTTGTAAATAATGGTTCAGACTCATTATACAATGTAACAACAATAACAATAACAATAATTCTCATGCCTTCAACTTCACTGGATAAAAAGTCATTATACAGATGGCATTCTGTTTAAATTCATTTCACGTTCGTATAAGTCCTTAACTTCGAAACAACGTCCTGGTTTCACAAAGACATTTGCAGTTAATGTATTTGAAAATGCATCTTTAGAACCAAAGAAAATAATTTTTCATTTACCATTACCTACGTGTATGTCAAAAAGAATGGAACTATGCCGTGACAGCTGAGGAAAGAGTCGTTAATATACTGGAAGAACAAGGGATAATTATGTAACAATAAATTGGTGTTGTACCTTAGAACAATAATAAATAGGTGACACACATAACAATATTAAAAGATCAGAACGTGTAACGTTTTTTCATGATCGACTCTTAACGCAAGTACTTCCATCTGAAATTTATGAAACTAAAAAAAAGTGAAGAATTTTTGATACAGAATCCACCCAATCGAGTATTAGATCAAATCCTTATCAAAAATTCCATTCGATATCTAAACCACAAACAGTTTTGTAAGTCCTCTGATTGTTCACATATTTGACAAATCAAAAGATATTTACAAAATTAAATGTAGAAAATAAATTTCATGTGTGTAGTGTCTGGTAAAAACTAAGTAAACAGTAAGTAAGACAAACTTTTCCAAAAGTCGAAAACCCAATTACCTACAATTACATCCTTCGGATGCTGACTTGATTGAATATCATTGAATAACAATTTATCCCATCTGTAGTGAAAGAAACAACTTCCTTCAGATCGAAGTGTTTTGCTACTTACTATTAAGAAGCAGAAACAGATTTTTTATTAATAAATCATGTGAGGAGATAGTCTGATCTCTTCAAACCAGTTTAGAAGTGAACCTCAATGAGCCTCAGAAATCCCCATTTCAACTGGAGATATGGTTCTTGTAAGATTTCAGATTTTCAGATTTGTCAGATTTTCTTTAATATTTCTTCTGAATTAATCTAATTTTTTCATCCAGTCATTTTAAAATTTTAGTAGTAACGAGTGAAATATACAATTTTTGCAGTTTTTTGAATCTACATAAAGCTCCATTCTTCAGAAACGAATTCTAGAAATTAAAGACGGCAGGTAGGCAACATATTAATTACAAATATAATAATAAAACAAATGAGAGAAAATATAAAAATACAAAAATAATAATACTTGAACAAAAAGAAAAAAATTACACTTTAAGAAGAACGGAAAGAAATAAACAAAATTAACAAACAAAAGATGAAGAAAATATACGACAGAAATAAAATATTTAAAACCATAATTAAATCACATATTCCAGTCATAAAAAGGAGAAGGATAGAATTACTGGAAAATATACAAGGAGATTTAACAAGTGAGCGAATCAAGAATCAATTAAAATAACGATAAAATATTAAACTGAAGAAGGCAGGGAAACATTTAGATGAGAGAGAGATACATGAAACGCAGAGGTAATTTACTGAAACGAGAATGCACAAGATGATAAAAGGCAAAACAATAGAAAGGAAAGAAAAAAATTAATAAAAGTGCAACAGAGGGGAAAATAATACAGAGATAAGAGCAAAGAAATATGTTAAAGTTATTAAATGTTTGAGACATTGAAGAAATACGAACCGGAAAAAGGGGGGAAATGGTGAAAATTTTGAATAGTAAGTGTCCAGGGGAGTCTTTAAAAGAGAAGTCAGAAAAAAGCCAGTCCTCTCAGGTATTTGCAAAAATCGCTTCAAAAAGTTTTCAACATCACGGGACATATAATAATATTTACCAAATTGTAAATAAGTATATATCCTTAATTTCTGTATATGTGAAAGAAGTGAGACCATACTCGCTATCAGACTTCTGTTCTCCGATTAAAATAGTCATGTGATTGACAGCAAACAACTCACGAAAGCAATCAAATGGTGGACACGACCTTTTGAACTCTAGAACTGGCAATTTTCGTAAAATGGGTTCAGAATCTCGGAACTGTCAATCACAATCTTCAATCGGACAACATAGCCGTACCTCCACCCACGTAAGGGATATATCAGTGTGAGGGAAGAGATCAAGTCGTTTAGGAAACCCTCAGCGCGTGAAGAGAGATAGAATATTTGAAGAGAGAGTGTTGCCAGATCATTTTACCGCTTACGTCAAATTCAGGGTTATAGCGATTAAGATTGAGAGGAGTCATTGAAGAAACGCTCAGACCGTGAAGAAAGAGAAATAATTGTGGAGCATGCGCTCAGAATATAAAGGGAGAATATATATATATATATATATATATATATATATATATATATATATAAATTTGTTCGATTTATATTTCCGGATGCGCCCAAAACAAATGTATTGAGGGGACTCCACACATTCGTCAAGTAGCGAGGAACTGTTCGCCCAATCCCGAGTGTCCGTGGTTCTCGGCGAATGTTCACTTTCTTTGACGACTCCAAAGACCGACACGCTGCGGAGATAACACCGAATGTTTGGTGTTTGGCAAATAGTAAGCAATCTGTCCACATTATTCGGGATTCGGCGGGCAGTCGCGCGCTACTCCTCGAATTTTGAATATGTGGAGCCGTTTTACAACATGAAGATGGAAAGAGTGTCGTTGAAAACACGTCCAGAGGTAAAGATTGAAATGGCGCTCAGAAACTAACCTAAACGGGAAAACAGAATCGCAAGAGAGGCGGTGGAATTGGACCTTATATCGACCAATAGAGATAAGAGCGTTAAGAGTAAGTCGTCAAAGAACCGATCAAAGCGTGAAGAGGAAGAGATAATCGTTGAATAGGCGCTCGGAGTAAAAATTGAAGAACCGCTGAAATTGGATAACTTTCTTTAGAGTTTACAGCGTGAAGAGAGATTTGGGGAGGGGATTGCTTTAGAGGTGCTGGAATGAGACCACCTCTCCGCACATGTGCTCCAGTCAAAGTCTTTACAGCGTGAAGAGGGAGAGGCAGTCACTAAATAAACGATCCGTGCATGAAGAGAGATTTGGGGAAGGGATTGCTGAAGAGGTGCCTGAATAAGACACCTTTCCGGACATGTGCTCGAGTCAAAGTCTTTACAGCGTGAAGAGGGAGAGGGAGTCGTTGAAGCAAAGCTTCGTGCGTGAAGAGAAACTTGGGGAGGGGATCGCCCGGAATGAGACCACCTCTCCGCAAATGTGCTCAAAGTCTTTATAGCGAGAAGAGGGAGGGGTAGTCGTTGAAGATGCGTTCAGAGGAGAAATAGGGAGGCTTATCGCGCATGTGGCGGAGTCAAAGATTTTACAGCGTCAAGAGGGAGTCGTTAGATAAACGTTCCAAGCTTGAAAAGAGATAGGGAATTGCCGAAGCGGTGCCGGAATGGGACCACCTCTCCGCACATGTGCTCGAGTCAAAGACTTTACAGCGTGAAGAGGGAGAGGCAGTCGCTAAATAAACGATCCGCGCATGAAGAGAGATTTGGGGAAGGGATTGCTGAAGAGGTGCCTGAATAAGACACCTTTAAGGACATGTGCTCGAGTCAAAGTCTTTACAGCGTGAAGAGGGAGAGGGAGTCGTTGAAGCCAAAGCTTCGTGCGGAAAGAGATTTGGGAAGGGGATTACCCGGAAAAACCAGACTCTCCGCAAATGTCAAAGCTTCACAGCGAGAAAGAGGGAGAGGAGTCTTGAAGCAAATCTCGCCGTGAAAGAGATTTGGGGAGGGATTGCCGGATGAGACCAGGACTCTCCGCAATGTGCTCAAAGTCTTCGACAGCGAGAAGATGGAGAGGAGTCGTTGAAAGATGCGCTGGTAGGCGAGGTGGGGGCGTGGCGTGGGCGAAGCCGTGGTGGGCGAGCGCGGGGCGGCGACGAGCGAAGCCCGGCGCGAGGCGCGGGCGCGCGGGCGGCGCGGGCGGCGACGGCGCCGGGCGAAGCCGGGCGGCGGCCGGCCAGCGCGGGGGCGGGGCCGGCCACCAGGCGCATGAGGCGCAGGTTGACCTCGTTGGGGCTCCACGTGCGCCGGAAGTACTTCTGGAAGCGCGACGACGTCAGCCAGAAGCGGCCCTGGTCGCGCGGCGCGATCACCAGCTCCGAGGAGAACTGCAGCCGCTCGGGGTCGTACGCCACCACGCGCGTCGTGTGGCTGGTCGGGGAGTAGGCGGCCAGCGCCGTCTCCCGCACCTGCAACCGACACGCACGCGGGTTACAGCTGCACAAACGATATTGCCAGTGCAGTTAACACACGTACACAACAGAATTCAAACACTCCTAAACTAACATATCGTCGTTGTTGATAAACATTTTTGTATCAATAATTCAGAGTTGGTTTGTTCTTTGAGATTGTTGTATGAGAAAATGCACAAAGAAAATTACAAATTGTGGTCTTAAAATGGAAAATAAAAATCTCTTGTATGTGACTGACAATTTATTGATGATGAATAGTCATCTGTGACCACATGGGAAGTTTGATAATATAATTAACACACTGCTGAAATGGCATATCGTTGTTGTTGATGAACATTCTGGTATCAATGATTCAGATTTTACTTGTTTTTTATATAGTTTTATGACATAATTTACAAAAAAATCACTTGACCACACAATTGTGCTCTTAAAATGGAAAATAAAAATCTCTTGTAAGTGACTTACAATTTATTAATGATGAATATGTCATCTGTGGTAAATGCCACATGGGAGGTTTCGTAATAAAATGAACACACTGCTGAAATGGCATATAGTTGTTGTTGATGAACATTCTGGTATCAATGATTCAGATTTTGATTGTTCTTTATATAGTTTTATGAGAAATTTTATAAGAAAACCACTAGTTGTGGTCTTAAAATGGAAAATAAAAACTCCTTGTATGTGACTTACAATTTATTGATGATGAATATGTCATCTGTGGTAAAAGCCACATGGGAGGTTTTCGTAAGGTATTTTTAGAAAAATTTTACAATAAATAAATATTTAATACTATTAAATAAGTGAATACCTAAATTTAGCAAATTATACATTGTTAACTTTAAAAAGTGTTTTTCCTTCCTCCCGTAAAATTGTGTTTTTCTCACATTGTTTTTTTACTGTTTGTCTGTCTTTGCCGACGATGTCTCAAAAATTACCCTTTGGGATAAGTCATAAAAAATTATCCGTTTGAAGATGGTTTTGCAATAAGCAATGCTACATGTTTCGAGACCAAAGACCTGTTTTGTGAGCTACCTTATTATGTTTTTACTAGTAAAAGTAGATTATGCACTATTCATACTACTTCTTTATACGAAGAAAATGATAATTCTCTTAATGTGTTAGATTTCTAGGGTGCCAAAGAAGTAACTACATAATAGAGGCATCAATTTTATTCAGATGTAAAATCACATGGTAAACCCTAGAGTTTCAACATTTTTTTAAATGTTTGTAAAAGTTTGTAATGAGTTATAGCTTGTATCATATTCTTTTTAAAACTTCCTGCATTTCCGAATAAATGATGGGGATTAGATACCTTTTTCATCACGAATCTTTCTGTAAGGTTCATGACCACCGTCTTCTTAGTTCAGGTTTCGATTATTACGCAATTTATATTTATTTTTGATCATATATAAACTAGTATTTTACATATGGTTTGCATGATTTTTTTCTGTGATCATTCAATGCTACTGTCGCATGTGTAAAAATTGGGTTCTGGAGCACCAAAAATTGTCTGTCCTGGAACACGACAATATTGAAATGTCTTTCTTCGTTATCGCATTATTTCAGATGTGCGAAAGCAGTGACACACTAAGTATGACGAAGTTGTCGTATCATATAGGATGAGAAATTGCCAAATATCACAATCGATTATCTACTTTTTTCAGTCAAAATTGAAACCTTTTTTTGTAACATTTCGAGTTTCTGTATATCTAACAAACCGTAGATGCCTCTCACATCACGAAAGGCTGTACAGTTCTCTTTCAATTTCTGCGCACATTGAATATTAGTAAAATAGATTTGAGCTAAATTCTTCGACGACCTCGTCATCAATGGGTTTGAAAGTTTTATTTCATAAATAATGTTCATGTTTCGTATGCTTTTCATTCCTATTTTGTAAATGTTAAATAATGTAAAATATTTAAAAGTCAATACTCAATCATATGGGAAAAACAGTTATCTGTGAACTCTCCATTTCTAATTCGCTTTCAGGCAACTAGTTATATTGTGTATTTTGCCGTGATTTTGGTACTACTCTTATATCATCAAGTGTACTGTAAGTACACTTCTGGAGCCATTCATTGACACTAAAAATAGATTACAAAAATCTTCAGTTTGCAAATTTAATTTTGTTACATATTTGGTGTCACCATTTTACAGCGAATTTATTTCAATATTACAACACAAATAAATATTTTCCGTAAAATTATTGTACATTTTAGTATCGTAGTAGCAAGCATGAATAGATGAAATAGTACTATAATATCAATTAAGAAATATCTGAATCATTTTTGTTGTCAATGCTAGTAATCTGTTTAGTAAATACTGAACGGTTAACGCTGAAAACTTAATAACGCGTACTTATAATTCTCATTATTTTCAACCAATTTACTTAACAATGTGTGTAAAGCGAGCTCTTCTACCTCCGTGCACTTCCCTCTTTCCGCTACTCCGCGCTTATTTTCCGCTCGCGGCGGCTCGCTCGCAAAATAAGACTCTTGTTTTCGTAATTAGTAGCTCCTCACTTTGCTAATGCGTCAACAAGGCCGGCAGTAAGTTGGCAACCGTGTAATCGGAAGAATACTCGGAAGCATTCCGCTCGGCAGAGGCCACAAGGAAGTAGATGTGGCAAAAGAGCATCGTATTAAAAGGCCGGCCATCTTGTTATGAAGCAACCTGGTCATTGTGGGGCACCTTGCGTTCTGCAAGCGTTGCTTCGCTCTTGTTTTGCAAGTCACGCTTCGCTTCGTCACGACCCGAGCTACAGGTGGTTGTTTATTCTTGTAAGCCTTGTTCTACGGCGAATTGGTGTGATGACAAGCGGGGCAGATGGAGTATCAATTTCAATTTCCTCGCTTTTCGTTTCCCGTTTTTAGTACTCTTTGGCGTTTACAAACATTTTCCTTATTGCAGTTTTCTTGTGTTCGCTTTCCTGCATCTCCAAACGTGCATGCTGCATGGTTACGTAGTTGACCATTTGCTGTTTGAATTGACCATTCACCTGCACTTGTGGTAGGAGTGTGTTGCGTAACGATGACTTCATATTTATGAAAGCAACTGTTGCCAGAATATTAATTGATTTGAATGAATCATATTCACCTGTGCGTGCTATTTTAATAGTTACAAATTGCGAAAACAGACCACCTTGTGGTTCGAACTGAAACACAGCTTATACTACTCTTAGTTTCTTAAAATTTCGGAACATTTTTTGAGATTAAACTATTTTCATACAATAGAAATTGAACACTCACATATCCAGAAATATAACTAAATGAACAATAATTAGAAATATAACATTTCTTTACTATATTTGTAGATAAAATAACAGATATATGGTCCATCCCCACTGACTCATTTTGGAGTTCTTTATCGTGTGATTTGGAATTTTAGGATGTCTTTTTGAAAAGTAAAGGCGGTTCCACTCATTTGTCATTCTCCTAGCAGCGATCTACTGCTCGCCCAATCCAGATCAGCTGATCTGTTCGGCGAAAGATTGCTTTCTTCGGTATGTCCGAAAGACCGACACGCGGTGGGGAGGGGGGGAGCGGCAAGCACCGATTACCGAATATTCGTAACGCGGCAAGTAGCAAGCAACTCTGCAACTTTACTTGGGATTTGGCGAGCGGTTGCTCGCTTTTCGCCGAATACCGAATGTGTGAAGCCGCCTTAGGATTTACAAATACAAGAACATGACAGGTCGCCAGATGACAATAGATAATAATAATGATAATGATAATAATAATGGTAATAATAATAGTAATAATAATAAATTTATTCAAACTGCAATTGGGTATAACCCGGTGGCAGCTTATTACATAAATATGATAATATATCTAACATGCAAATTATACAGAAATAATAATAATAATATAAAAACTGACTATTTTTTAAACATTAAATTATCTAATGAAAATGAAACTTCAATAGTCTAGTTCCGCACTGAATATTTGTTCAATTAAGATCACACTATACTGGTAGGGCATTGCACTTCACTTCACTACGACCCTTAAACCACTTCCTTCATTATTTCTCTGTTCTACCCTGCACGACACCTCACTTCACATATATCATTTATGCTTCGCTCTATAACCTACTATTATTAGTTAAGTCCCTCATTTATTTAGTAATACCCTAAATTATTTTTTTAACCGTTGAATGCTTCAAGGAGCGGGTTCAAAGATTTTTGCAGACAATCTATTTCATTTTTTTATCGTTCGATTTGTGAAAGAAAATTTCCACACATCTGTTCACTGCGGTCTTAAATTTATTTTGTGCCTCATGTGGCAAAAGACTGAAAAAGTATATATTCACATTTGCGACGTTCCATCAATGTATCATGTGTGATTTGTATCAACGTATCCTGTATGAACGTGTCCTGATATTTTTTCGTTCGTGTTTGATTCCTTCTTCGAAGTTCTTAGATCTCTGCGTATCGACTGCTTGACAAAATGGGTGGTGTTGCTGGGTGAAAGGCGTGGGGCTCGGAGGGGCCAGCAGGATAATTATGAGCGCTCCTAGCGGGTGTTCTGTCCTTTCTCCGCGGGCCGGCTGCATCGTGCTTTTCTCGAGGAGTTTGACACGCGCACGGGCTCACATACTGCGGGCTGCGGCGTTTGGTCGTGAGCGAAAGTGACAGCTCCTGTCTATTTCTCTCTCCGTCTCTCTCCATACGCAATTAAACGCGTTGGATGGCGGCGACTGATATAGAAGCACGGAAGACGACGGTTGGAGAACAATGGCACATTTGGTTTTATTTCGGAAGTTTTTTGTGGATGGGAAAGGATTCGAAAGGGAGAGGAAATGTTTGGAAGGAGGTAAAAGAATAAAACGTTACGGAAAATTAGTGGTTGGTGGATAATGAAAGATCGTAATCTTTCGTAAAGATACTAGAAAGGATGGAGTTGAGGGATAGATAAGACACGCACTGTAAGGTTGGTACTTGGATGCCTGTAATGGCCCAGCTACGCCTTCCGTCTCTTTTCCAGTTAGACAAGTCCATAGTCTACAATAGTTATTTAAGGAAATGAACACTGACTACGGATCTTTTAATAGATGACATCCTCATTTACTATCAAATATCAAATTTCTAGGTTCATTTTCGTTACCACTCACATTCGCCACAAGTCACGCCTACTTTTATGTACAAAGTTAATGGGCTCCGAACTTCATGCATATAAGTGTTGATTCAGAGTGCAGTGTAAACATTATTCTTTGCTTTCACCTCTCCCGTCAAGCAATTGCTACAAGCATGCTTCACAACTCTCATAACACTGCTAGAAGTTTTTTTCGCCTGGAGAGCGTTTTAACAGTTGCAAGGTCTCCGTAGGAATGCCATAAAATGTGACGTTATAGTTTTCTCGTATATAAACGTTCATTGCGTAACAGAAACTAAAAACAGAGGATAGAATGTGACAAACACATTGTAATACCTCGGAAGCCCTGAGTATCTATGAGTTCAATTGAGCGCCGGATTCAATGTTTTTCTAGAGAGAATATTGTCTTGATTGTGGACCTCGTACTGACAGGTGTTTTTGCCACAGCTCTTGCTAGCTCTCCAAGGCGGCCCTTCACAAGATTTGGTAGTCTGCTCTTACGAAGACTTATAAATACGAGAATTGTACGGTCATGCTTCTCTGAGTAAACACAAAGTGTTCAGCTGTGACCAGATATGTCGAAATGGTCGTTATCAAGTGGAAAATGAACGTCGTCATAAACGTCGTTCGGCGAACAGCGTCTAATGATGGCAATATTGAAGTAATGCATGAGCTTTGTAGAAGGCGATCGCCCCATTGCTGTGGCTCATATTGCATCAGAGGTTGATGTATGTGTTGGAATTGTACGTGTCTTTGTATCTGACGGCGTCTACCGGCGTCTAACACATATAGAATCGGAGGTTAGCTACCAATTCACGATGTGATCCTGCGTGACAACACAAGGCCGCATACTCGTTAAAATTTCAAGAAATTGCACTGGCTATTACTAGAACACACTTTATTGTTAAGACTTGTTCCCATGTGCCTACCATATGTTTGGTCTACTAAAGGAGGCACTATATGGAGAAAGATTTGAACACGACTCTGCGGTCAAGCAGTAAGTGCGCAGTTTGCAACTGGGGCAGCCGCCTTCATTTTTCCATGAAGGAACCAGACACTTTACTTTGCAATGGAAAAATGTACTTCTACTGAAGGAAACTACGGAGAAAAATAATGGACTTCATTTGTATTTTTATCATCACCAATAACTGTGTTACAAAATTCCAGTTCATATTTGAATGACCTTAGTAATTCTGGCTGTAGATCATCCTTTTTCAAAATATTTTTCTCATTCAAGATATGTTTTCTTTAATTTAACCCAATTGCCTTTTGACTTCAGATATAATTGAAATGCTATTTACTACTTTGCTATTGGGTCAGAGTCACAAATACGTATCCCTGTTCGAGAATATACAGAACTGCGTTTCAATGCTAGGCGATTTCAACTTGTACTCCCTTAGTTGTGTGATGTATGTTTGATGGACACTTGAACTTTAACCACACTAGCTATGTTCAATAGAAGAACATGCCATCAGCGGTGGCGGATCGTGCACGTTTGTTAGGACGTTGAAAGAAGACAATTGCGTAAGGTTTTCAAATTCAACTGACAACGATATAGATTATATGCGTCGACTTGCTTGAGATGAAAGAGAAATGTGTATCAGTTTGATTTTCCTATGGCTTACGTCAGCCTAAATTGAAAGATTACGAGCTGCTCCGCTCATATTTAACCCTCTCGTCTGGCCTTTGCCTACCAGTGTTTCATGACTCACCGCCCATGACTGGTGGTTCCGTTTCAAAAGGGGGGCAATAGATGTCAGTTCAAGGGAGGAGATTCTTCTCTTCTTCCACTTAGCTCCATTAAATAGCATTTCTTATTCAAGCCGCAGGAGCTGCTAGATTGACACACGAGAAGAGGAAATGCTGAGTGTACCTCTTCAGAGTGACTTTGATTGATTGCGATGTAGCTTAAAAATTTAAAAAATGTACTGTTTCCCCTCAATGATCAAAGCAAATATTGTATTTCGTATATATATATATATATATATATATATATATATATATATATATATATATATATATATATATATACGTTTTTCGTCTTTCGTATATTAATACGAAGAAAGTAAGAGAGAAGGGTGAACCTCCCTTCTCTCCCTCGAGAAACCGCAGGTTCCTAAGGGAACAATTAATCAGTTGTTCCGCGTGAATTACTTCTCACATCCTTTCGAATTCCTAACCAATCATTCAGTGTACTCTTGTACATGGTGCTGCCCGATCCTCTGAATGTGAGATTTGACATTGATGTTTCATGAGTATTGCGAACATAACTAATCATAAGTGCTCGCCTTTGTAGTTTGAAACTTGAACCCCTTGGTGGTTTGAAAATATAAACTTTTTGATGTTTTAAAAGTAGAAACCATTTAGTGATTTGAAAGTAGAAAACCTTTGGTGGTTTTAAATTGGAAACCCTATAGTGGTTAGGACCACCCCTTTGCTGGTAAGGACTAGAAAATCTTTCGTGGTAAGTACAAGAAAATCTTTCGTGGTAAGGACAAGAAAATCTTTCGTGGTAAGGACAAGAAAATCTTTCGTGGTAAGGACAAGAAAAGCTTTCGTGGTAAGGACAAGAAAAGCTTTCGTGGTAAGGACAAGAAAAGCTTTCGCAGTAAGGACTAGAAAAGCTTTCGTGGTAAGGACTAGAAAATGTTTGGTGGTAAGGACTAGAATATATTTTATGGTTTGGACTAGAAATCCATAGCGTTTGGAAACATGATCCCTTAAGCGATTTGAGAATGGAATATCTTTTTGATTGGAATATTGGACCTTCTGGAGTTGAAAATGATATCCCTTTTCCATTTGAAAATTGGATCTCTTTTTCATTTGTAAATAACACCCTACGGTGTAAGTGTGTGTGTGTGTGTGTCGGGCGCACTTACCGGGCTGAAGTAGACGGTGCCGTCGCTCTGGTCGACGGCGAGGTTGGCGGACTGCGAGGACTTGTGGCCGACGAGCGTGACGGGCAGGTCCTCGCCCTCCGGGGGCGGGCCGGCGCGCAGGGCGGACGTGGGGATGGAGAAGAGGCGGTCGGCGGCCAGCGGCTGGAAGTAGAGGATGCGGTCTCCGCCCGCGGGGGCGGCGGCGCCGGCGTCCAGGTGCTGCAGGCCGGGGAACGGGGCGGCGGGCGGCGTCGGCTGCGGCGGCGACAGCGCCAGCCCCACCACGCCGTCCATCAGGGTGAAGCGTTCGCCCGCCACCTGCGCATTGCACGCCTACGTCACTCCGCCGGCCCAGCCTCCTCTCCTTAAGACGAAGAAAGTAAGAGACGCAGAAGACATTAAGACGAAGAAAGTAAGAGAGAAGGATGTGTTCGTAGGTTTCCGCGGCCGCAGTCATTGGAGTCTCTGTCGATTGAGCTGACGTTCGCACGCCTACGTCACTCCGCTGACATACGCACCCCCACCTCCTCTGCGCACCTGGTCCTTCTGTGGGGGCCTTGTGAGAAATAACGGTTATTTAGTTAATTCCTTATTTCGCGTGACGGGACTCGGGCTATCATGTGCCGCTCTTTCGTCTGACCGCGCAAATGTCGCTACGTTTCTTTCGCCATCTATCGGAGAAAGAAAGTATATCGCGGTCGATGAAACGGGCGATTTGAATATATCTCGGAGCCTTCTTTTCGGCTTGATGATCTTTTACATGCAGTACATCCACAACATGAGACGGCCGGCTTGACTTCCCTTCCGAAGAAAGGTGTACGAAGCAATTAAAACTCCACGACTTAGATTGGGGTTTGAACCCGCAAACTTGGGTGCAAAAGCTCGATACGCTGTTATATTACCTAATCCGGTATGGTTGGCATGTTTTTACTAGTTGTACAATTTTTCATGCTCTCATTCCAGTACCTACCTAATCCATCTTTATTGGTTTCATCATTGTTATAGTGTATTCCTCAATTTAATTCGTTCTATTAAATATTTACACGTGCTGCAGAACAAGTAATTATAAACAATTTACAGAATTACATGCTGTAGACGTAATTACAATAAACATGTCTAATAAAAGTACATAGAAAAAATACTAAAATAATACTAAAACAGAAACTCACAAAAACATAAATAATATGATATACTGAAGATGATCTTACAGGCCGTAATTAATAGTAACCAGACTGACATGGCCTAAAGAAAACAGTAGAAAAAGAATGCCACCTACCGACAAAACTAAAAAAAGGGTTAAAAGGTAGAATGACGCCAGTAGATAATTCTGAAACTGCTGGTGTCGAAGCGTACTAACATCTAAAGAAATATTTAAACGAAACATGACTTATCAATTATTCGTAGAAAACCTCTACAGTAAATGGTATTGTTAAGTTATGAAATTAGGTGTGTTCTAAATTAATTGACACACATACTTAATTAGATGATGACCTGGCCTGATGGACGAATAGAAGATCGAACGTTTTTGTTATCAATGGTCTAATTCGTTCTAGGAGTTGGAAAAATAAATTGAAATTTGAAATAATTTGAACATGTGTCTTCCATTAAACTATGAAGAAATAAATTGTATGACATAGTGTATGATTACTGTAACTGAGTATTAAATTAAGGTATACTTTTAACGTCACCTTATCTTATAGCAGAGGTATTGAAATGTTTCGATATGTCTCTTATTAAAGAAGAAAGATATTATTTCTTTCATGCTCATATATTACTTTCTCCTGTTCTATTTACGTAGTACAGAGAAAGTTACGTAATGTGAAACGAAAAAGTGGGGCTGGAAATGGCAATTTTTCAGAAGAAAAATATGTATTCTAAGCCCACTAATCAAAAATGTGCATAACTCTTGTTTATATATTGTGACCGCTGGCCTAAGTAGGTTGTTGCGACTCACATCCATGCCGTGAAACTTTAAATTCGCGCTTCTGAATAATAAGAGCGGGTCTCCGAACGTCCTGAGTCTAGCAACGATGAGAGGGGAGGTCGAGCGACCACGGAGCGCGTACTAGAAAAAGAGGGGAAGTGAGGGGTGGAGAAGGGGAAGTGAGAGGTTGAGAAGGGGAAGTGAGTGAAGTTAACGGGTAATTCGGTTTCATTTCTTTCGGACGTCCACCGAAAAAGGGTCGTCGAAGTTACCGTTGATACAGTTACATGTTACAAGTAGTGGGTTTGGAGGTACAACGCTACTACGAGAACTAAAAAAACTCCATAAAAAAGGTAATTGATCCTAGAATTACAGTGAAGTAAATTATGAATGTAAGCAAATTCAGGTTTCGGGAAAATGCATGACCATGATGTAAATAAATGACTGTGCTAACACGTGGATAATTATTTTCATATTTCAGTGTTTTTGTGGACGGAATAGAAAATTTGAGTATATTTTCATATGCTTCGGGAATTAGGAACCAATATGGAGTTCATCCATCGCAGTAATTCAACGGAATCTAAGGCGTTGAACTTCTGGTTGGACTGATCTACTGTATTCCAGTACAAGAGCACAACCATATGGAGAGAGGCGCTAATAGTACAACCTGCCGTTCCCCAAGTAAGGTCAACTCCATTTATACAGATTCAGGGAAAGAAATAGCCAAAAAGTGATATATTATAATGAGCCATGTCATATTCGATTATGCGGACAAAATATATACTACATCGCTTGAGTGCATATTATTACAATGGGACATTGATATTTATGCTCTGTTTCATTGTATACTATCGGGACATCATGTAGTATAGTAAATTCAGAGGAGGTGAATCATTTGTGTAACTGTGAAAGAGTTTAATATTGTAAGTAAGTATATAAATTTAAACTGGGTGAAGTAATTTGAATTTGAACAAGAACATTAATTTGAGCAATCGTTCTTCGAATTGAGGTCAGCTGCGAAGGTCATGCGAGTAGAAATTTTTTTGAATTCAAAATGGAAATGATTAGAGCAAGATTGAATTGTTGCAACACGTAATTTGAGTTCAAATGGAATTTTGTATTTACGGGTCATACCTAAAATAAACCCATTTCAATGAGAAACGTTTATTAGAAATTTTCACCCTAGGTAAGGATGTGAAATTCAAATTTTGAAATGTAATTGTAACCCGTAAAAATCTTGTTAGTATTACTGATGACGACGAAGCTGCTATTATCTGTAGAAGTTTTGTGTGGATTGTTGAATTTTTTTGCGTGTTCAATGTTACTGTGTAGTTAGCACATAGGCATCCCTACGTCGTAATCTGGTCTTCTCAACCTGTGAAGTGAGTTTTTTCATCATCGCACAGGAATATATACTGGGTTATTGCAAGGAATACGTACAATATAATGTTGTTCAACAGAGAATCGACCCTGAAGTCGCGTTATGGCAAGCGAGCACGCTGACCGATCATCCATTCGTGAGGGCAGTTTGCAAATTAGCTGAAGTCTAGTTTACGGTACAACTTCGGAAGACATTTAAACCGGCACTTCGTGCCGCTCCGGCGGTAACTGCGCAGTTTGAATTCTGTAGTCTTTCTTGAAAAGTGCTTTTTTATAAAGATGAATTGGTAATTATGCGGTGGATAGACTCAAGGATGTTTATAGTGAACGCGAGGGTCGAAGGCCCGAGCCTCACCCTGACTTGGATCCGGGCGAGCCAAGCGATAAAACTTGCCGTTGAAAGTAAATTGGCATTACAATGCGGCGGGGGCGAAGCGTATGAAGGGCGCGCCATGAAAATCGTCTACAGGGCCCTATAACTCCCATATAACGTGGTGGAGACCATTACGGTGGCACGGTCTGCTGCATCATCTTCTTTACAGGAACTAAAGCACGAACTGCTGCCAACGATACTTTAAACGTGTGTGGCTGCTGCGTGAGTTCGTGGGTCGCAAGAAGGCTCATATTGTTACAAAATATAATGTCGATGTTCGCGCTTAATTCAGAGGTGTCTTATAAGCATATATTATGAATAATTGAATATTTATAAGAAACTTTTCGTATTTCTCACAAATTACTCAATTTGTAAGTGGGAATGTTGGCGAGTCTAACCTGCAGGTGCACCCAGCGACACTAGCGCTTCCTATAGTAGCGACCTCTAACTTTGTCCCCGGTTTTGAGGGAGAGTTGCCGGCCCTGATCGTCTATCCGTACGTTTTATTCATTCCTATCAGAGCGCATAGTGTAATTTGAGGGAGGGCCTAAGGAGACCCCCCCCCGCCGCCACACTTCTGATGATGTACCGTGTACCCTGTTTTAACCAATAAATTATTCTCAGGTTGCTTCGCACATACGGCACTTTTTCAAATTGTAATTAATGGAGCGTAATCCAGTTATCTTGATAATCCATATTAGCGTTTCCATATTCCTCGTCGGACTCTTCAATGAATGAGAACTACGCTCATTTTTTAAAATACAGTGAAAATACACATATGGTAGTAGTGCATACGCCAGCAATGAAATGCATTTTTAATCATAACAAAATTGAAGTTTCACAAGGAAAATTGAGTCGCTTAATAAAGCTTTTCAGTTTTTGGAGAAACGTAAATAAAACATTCAATAACAGAAATTGTCTGATTCAAATAACATACAACATAACAAATAATCATTTCTCATAATAGCGAATAAACTATTAATGGCGTTTTCCAATTCTAAATTCTACTTCATAAAATATAACCGGAATATGCTATTAATAAATATCAATTACACTTACGGTAGGTTTTATTATAAAATATGTGAAAGAATTATGTCAGGAAAGACGTATAAAAGTATGTATGTATTTGGCATGTGAGTAGTTTGTCCCACTTTGCCAGCTAGCTAATAGTGTCCGCATACATGGGTCTAGTTTAATTTCCATGCTTAGACGTTAGAATGCACGTGTTTTATATAACAGTTACTTCATTCCGTTCATTTTATGAGTCATTTCTTCCCTCTGGTCTTGTTTACTCCTTGACGTACTACGTGGGAGACCAAGAGCTACGCCCTTGCTGTCCCAAACAATGGGGCATATTCTGTTTCGCCGTTCGTGAAAGCACTCTGAGAATGTGGGTGGCCGCCATCCTTCAGAGAAAGCTCTTGTTCTCAGGATGCTACGTGCTCAGAATTCGCGAAAACGCAAGTCGAGTCTTTCCCGCAGCTTCTCTGAGTCGCAATATGAAACAACCCTCACAACAGTTTTTTTTTTTTTGAATATATATTTGAGCCCGAAAAATTGTCATCTGTGTGTACAATCTATTCGAGTATGTAAATATTTTTTATTTCCTTAAATAAATTCAACCTGAAAAATATATTGTTTTTTCTGTATGTGGCTCCGCAAATATTTTCAATGTTTCAATTAACCCCAATACGAAAGTATTTCCTAGAAAATTGATTTGTACAGAATAATGAGACGGACCTCAATGCATTTGACTAAATGAATCCGTGCGACTAAATTGAAAAATGCAAAGCATTTAAACAGAGAGCGAATTCAATTGTTCATACAACGTTGAATATGTAAATCTGTTTTGAAATAAAACAAAACTTTCTTGGTAATCATTTTATTTACGTTCTTTTTATCCTATAAAACATTAATACTATTGTCTCTTCTATAGTACCTAAACCTCCCTCTTGATGTTTCATATGCTTTTCTATAAACATTGGTTCATTTTTTTCTGAAGTGAACATATTCAGTCATTAAAGCGAATTCAGGAAAAGGAGAAATGCTTTTAGTAAATATTCTTAAATCCATGTTAACGAATACGAAGCTGATAATTGGGCTAGTGAAATGCGTACTTACAGCCAAACAACGTACTTACGTAACAAGCGAATGGAAATACATTCAGTAAAAAATACAGAATATATCGAATATTCTTTGCTCTCCGTACTATTCGTTAAAGCTAACAACCTCCAGCGAGATCAGTCGATGCCTGTCCTTGCGTCTCCATACGAGTCGACTTTCCGTTAGCTGGAACGATTCCATAACTAAATCCAGTGAATACAAACCAAATAATTGGGCTAGTGAAATACGTACTTACAGCCAAACAACGTACTTACGTAACAAGCGAATGGAAAATAATTCAGTAAAAAATAGTATGTATTTAATCGCCGTTCTTTCCTCTGTGTACTATTCGTTAAAGCTAACAACCTCCTGTGAGATCATTCGAGGCCTGTCCTTGCGTCTCCATACGAGTCGACTTTCCGTTAGCCGGAGCGATACCATAACTGAATCGAGCGGCGCCGACGGCCGGGCGATTGGCAGCGGCGGCGGTCGCGGTAGCCGCGGAGGGCGGCGGCGCGGCGCTGCGCGTGGGATGAATAATGGAAACGCCCCGCGGAATGTGTCACAGCGATCTGGATCGACCCCAGGCGGCGCGCTGCGCAACCCCTGCATCCGTAAGTGCGGGTCGCTGGTGGTGAAAGCGGCCGATCGTCGGTTTACGCACAAGGAGGCGGTTTCCGCCTTACTGTCCAGTCGTTCTGATTTTGTTTTTTTTGTTTGCTTGTTTTTGTTTTGTTTTTTCTTCGTTTGTTTTTTAATATAGCCGGAAATTACGATAAATAAGGTTCGTCAACATTACGTGAAAGAAATTTTTTTATCAGATATTGATTTTTTTAAATAAATATTTACACGTATGTTTTCTTTGCCCCGTATATCGCCTTCTTTACTTTGTTTAGAGATGTAATAAATAACTAAGCAACATATCCAATTTGCAATTTAATACCTTCAAGTCCATCTCCTTTATATTGTTATTGCCGTTAGCTTTTTTAATATTTAATTTTATTACCATATCTAGGGGTAAAAATACAAAAATGTCTCAAATTTTCAGTATTAGTTGTATGTCAAAGTAATTGTGAATGAACGGTAACACCAAAGTTGTGTTTTGTTTCCTGATTTAATAATAGACATTAGTTGTAGAATGAAATCCTTAATGTTTTGCGATAAATTAAGCTGTGGCATAAATGTTCTTCATGTTAATTAGATACTTCTTTGAAGACTCATTTATCACTGCCCACCCAATGCTTATCTGTAGAACTCGGGCTCTTATGCTTTAAATGTCTCCTGCTTAGTAAGACTTATAATCAGTTTATGACATCTATTACGAAAAGATAATTATGCTACTTGTTAATAAGTATAATATAAAAGAATAATCCAAATATCCACGTATGTCAAAGAAAAAATGTTTGGGGTAATTGCAATTGAGGAACGTAGCATTTTGGTGCAAGATTGTGGAACGTTGATTAACTTAATATTCGCGAAGTGTTTGAAGACAAAGAATTACACAAATTCGCAGTGTCACAGCGAAGACATATTTGCATCCAAGTAGCGGAATACATCAGCACCTGGGGGCGGATTTAAATAGTATTTTATGGAGGATATTTCGGTTTGCCCCTCCCAAATTTAAGACAAATTACACTTCATTTAGATCGTACCTTTCTTATTGAAATGGCAGCGATTCACGTATAAGGGGAATATTTCTTTGTGAGATAATTGTAATGTGTAATAAAGATTTTGAGTAATTTCAAAAAATAAATATAAGGAATGGCACGACATTTATCTCCCCGACCCCTGAATCAGACACTGGCTAGTACTCACAAGGACATGGGGTGCTAAGAAACATAGAGGTAGAAGTCGTATTCTCCGTTTCAGGTTACCTTCATTGTCTGTGTGAGAAATGTACTAGTATTTATCTTGTGTTGTGTTGAGTTTAGTCGTAACTAATTTTAGTGGCAGAGGTAGGAGTTATTTATGACTGACCTCACTATGGCACAAGATAAATACTAGTACACTTCTCACACAGAAAACGAAAGTCACCTGAAATGGACAATATGACACCACTATGTTCTTCAACACCCTATGTGTACATCAACACACCTCATACATTACAATTTTCTTTGATAAGACATTACTTTAGGCATTTTTTGTTTTGTTTCCATTGTTCAAATATATCCAGATATTCAATTGTTACTGTGGTTGCCAGGTAAGGTTAGGTTAATTTTGGCTAAATAAAGTATTTTGTTGTGCAAAACACTGCCAATAACAACAGTCTGTTCGTTGCTTCAGTTTAATTTTAATGATTTCGAATAGTCTCCGTTATCACACCGGAAAGTCTGTTGAATGCTACTAGAGAAACATTTGAGGGACTATCAACAACGTAAATGAAAATAAACTACAGATAACTTGTTTTGTAAACTAGAAATATCAAGGTCACAATGTTCTATTTTTTACTTGATTGATTAGTGATTGCGGGAACGTCAACTGCAAAGATCATTAGTCCCTTAAGTGTAGTGCATGCGTTTTTCTCGAGATGTGGCGGCGATCTTCCCCTCGCTGGATGGGGAGATCCGGTGCCGACCAATGGCTGATGGGATTTCCCCAGCCAGATATCTCCCATCAGCGGGGCACTACCGCAGCTGGGACGGTCCCTAAGCTCCCGAACTGTCTTACGGTGTGTGTGGTAGTGTAGTGCGAGTAAGGGGTGTGGATGAAACAAGGAAAAGAAAGGATAGATCGCGCGCGGTCCGTGGCCCGTTTTCTTTAGGGTTGTGCCAGGGCATTCGTCTGGTATCGATGGGCGAAACCATGGAAAACTACCGATCAGAGCAGCCGGCCGCTAGAATTCTCTTCCAGATAGCAGCTTAACTCGATCTACCTATCTATCCAGAGTCGAAAAGCTTGCCACCGTCAGGACTCGAGCCAAGAACCTCCGGGTCGGAGGTACTGCAGTGACATCAGTTGATGCCCTGAGCCACATCTGCCGATAACACATTGTCCAAGTAAACTCGAAATATCGCTAACAAATTGTTCCAGCAAACTCGAAATATGCACGACAAATTGTTCCAGCAACTCGAAATCGCGAAAAATTGTTCAGAAACTCGAAACATCGCGAACAAATTGTTCCAGCAAACTGCGAACATCGCGAACAAATTGTTCCAGACTCGAACATCGGAAACAAATTGTTCCAGAAACTCGAAACATGCGAACAATTGTTCGAAGGCAAAACTCGAAAACAATCGGAACAAATTGTTCAGCAACCTCGAAACACGCGGAAACAAATTGTTAGCAAACTCGAATATGCGACAAATGTTCCAGCAAACTGAAATATCAGCGAACAAATTGTTCCAGCAAACTCGAAATATCGGCGAACAAATTTTTCCAGCAACTCGAAAATCGCGAACGAATTTTTTGCCAGCAAACTCAAATATCGACGATACAAATTGTTCAGCAAACTCGAAATATAAGCGAAAAATTGTTCCAGAAACTCGAATATAACGAACAAATTGGCTCCAGCAAACTCGAATATAACGAAACAATTGTTCGAGCACCTCAAATATCACGAAACAATGGTTTTAGTTACTGGAAATAATCATGAACAAATTGTTCCAGCCAAACCGAATTTTACGAACAATTGTATAGCAAACTGGAATATCACGAACAATTGTTTAGTAAACTGGAAATATCAATGAATTTTGGCGCCTCTTGACGGAAAGCTTTCTTGCCCGTACCCCCGCCGCGTGCCCTGCCGGAGGCAAAGCGACGTTTCCTCGGCCGCTCGGCACGCGTCCTTCAATCAACTAATAGGGCGTCGGCGTCGGCGATCGGCGTCGTGCTAGCGGTCGAGGTGGCCGTGCGCGGCGCGCGCCGCCGCCGCCTGCGCCGCCGCCGCCGCGCCGCGGCCGCGCGCGATGTAACAGCCGCGCCCGGCCTGCACTGCGACTGCACTCGCGGTGTTTTTTTGCGCAACGCCGAAAGGCGCGGCGGGCGGGCGGGCGGGCGGGACAAGTGGAGCAACGCGCGTGTTGCTCGCCGCCGTTCCACGCACGCGTGCCTGCGTTCGCGATTGTTTGTTAAGCCACGGTGCTGTATTAGCGAAGATTGGCGCGAAATCCTGTTTGTTACCTTGTGTTCAAAATTTAGGCTTTCGGATGTAAGTGATGATTCCCAAATTTTGCGAAATTACGATGATTGATTTTTGGTTGTTTCTTATGAACGAGAAATAGGACTATATATCAGAAGGGAATGAATGAAGATAAGAAATAAGAATTGAAGTTTACTTGCACCTTAAGGATGTGCATCTCAACTCCTGTAGATACGTTTTTGTAATTTCCTATGTAATGCGAAATGTCAGTAATCATTAAATTCGTCCCAGTGTCCAATTTAATGAACAATTAATAGAAATGTAAAACTACTAAAGTAATGCGAAAGAGCAGGCATAATAGGCCTGATCGTCGCTACAAAAAATGTATTATTATTATTATTATTATTATTATTATTATTATTATTATTATTATTATTATTATTATTTGGGGATATAGCCCTTCTTCTGGTGGAGTACTAACATTTATTTTTCAATTCCTCTCCAAATACTCCAAGAAAATGCTCGTGCAGTGATGCAAAGTAATAATTTACTACTATGTTTTTCTGGCATTGTATGAATCATTAAAACTTGATTAACCAGATTGACAATCGTAGAACGTCATTTTGTAATTCACTCCTATATTAAAAAGGGATTACTATTGATACTTTTTACTTTGTCGCCTAACCACGTTTACGTTTAATTAAGAGAATTTTCAATCGAAAATCTTTTGATGTCAGTCTCTAATATCGAAAAATTGGAAAATTCTTGTCAAAACACGGAATTACTACTTCTACCACGTTGGGTAGGTCTGCGTATTACTTCTCGCTGTGCCGGCTCTTATTACCGAAAAAGTGTTTACGACAAAACATCCGTCCGTCATTCTGTTTGTCCGTCCATACGTGGTTAATTTCAGCGCCTAAACCGTTCAGACGATTTTAACCAAAATTGACATTCTGCGAGAGGTATGGCCTATCTCGAGGCCTTGCATATTGGAAACGGACATTTTTTTGATATTGAAGGAACTTTATATGAAACCTCAATATTTTCAAAATGTTATCACAAATGGCAACTATCGTTCCTTTTTTCTGGAATAGAGAAAATCACGCTTATAAAAATTGTATAAGTCTCACTACCTATAAACTCTCTGTATTTTTGAGTTTAAAATTGCAAAGTTTCGATATTGAGATTTTTTCATTGAAAAACTTGCTCCAAATTATTAGATTTTTAAATAATGACATGTGCAGTATTTAAAAATATGTAGCTTTAACTTAATTTTATCGTGAGATAAATATAATTTTAAAAATTAACGTTTTATTTCTCTAACGAAGCTCCTACAAAGAGGTCATACCGACCCCCGTTGGTGCCCGCCCGTGAGGGTTCTTAGCCCGACAACAGTGCGGCAGAGTTACCTACGACTTTTCCTTGGATATGATTTTTCTTGTCACGTCCCGGAAATTAGCTTTCTTGACAACCATGCGATTAGAGATACTGATGCATTTGCTGTTTCTTAAAATAGGAAAAAGACAAATTTTACGTCTTGTCATTATAATGAGAGAAACGTAAGGACAAACGTTAGGAAAAAAAATATTTGAAAAAAGAATAATCAAATTATTCCAAACGATTTTTTTCATTTAAAAAAGAAAATATTTTGCTTTTGTATTTTTTTAATTAGTTGAGAAAATTTCTTTTAATGACCACGGTACACTACGTTGGTTAGGAAATTCTGACAGAAATGTTCGTTCTCAAAATACTCAGCGCTTTCTTTACACGTGTCTGACTGATGAAAGTACTATTTATGTTCTCTAATGTGCAAAATACATTTTGTAGCGTTTCGATTACGATAACAAAAACGAAATAGAATACTTAAATACAAACGCGTAGTTGTATGGAAAAGAAATACTTCTTACTCACGACTAATTTTCCAAAAATTCTAAATTTAATTATTATTTTTTATTGTTTAAAACGTATATAAAACGTAAATAAAGGTTCAAAATTTTCGCAGTCATTTTAATACATTTTCCATTCAATATACGTTAATATTGACTACTATAAAAAGTTTTTTGTGAGCTGTAATTCATCAAAAATTTATATCGTAGAAAGATATTAACAATTCAAGCAGTCCTCCATAATTTTGAACAATACAAACTATACATTAGAACCTATTAATGAGAAATCAAGCCGTGTATAATGCGAATATAATGCAAGGTAGCAACATCTGCACCATGTAATCAAACGGCTCGGTTGTAAAAGTTTCCCTGCGACACGAAGTGCCCTTAAAACTTGCCTCTTCGCTCATTAAGCGGTGCCTCTTCACTCCACCTGCCTGCCCGCACACCCTCCCGCAACATTATGCCACCGTGGTGTCCGCCACGCAGTTTCACACGCCTCGAAATCGGATGCCGCTTCCTTCTGCGCAAGTATGTGCCACGCGCCACCCACCACGCGCTGTCGACCAGGCTGCCACCCTCTCGCTTTTTCACCCACCACGCCCCCCGCGTGGGAGAAACAACGGAAGAGCATCTTGCGCAGTGAGCGTCCGGAGGCGAGGTTGCCGAATCCGCTCTTTTTTTTTAGTTTCTAGTGTGGAGATGCCGGGAAAGGTGGCACATACGTTTATGACAGAACGGTGGTGAACTCGGGTTGTGGATTTGAATTTCGTGAACGTAACGGTTTTCGTGTTTTCAGAGTATTTTGCACATCGACCCTTAAAGATAAGCGGACCCGGATATTGGTAATTGACGTAGGGAACACTAATCATTGCCTTTGTAAAAAAAATAAGGATTAGCTGGGTTCGGTTCGGTTAGTAAGGCTTCATAACTTGTACACAATTTGTTGTCCGTTTTTCTTGTTAATTATTCCACTAGTTAAATTAATACCAATTGTGATCAACTCTTAATCTTGTGTGTGTCCTAATCAAGATAGTGTATTTTTAAAGGCAGTGTAAAATTATCACTTTTTCTATTTCGATTTTCTTACCACGTCTGCACTGGCAAATCATAAGGTGTAAAATATTAATCACCTGATGCGCCACGCAGTGAAAACAAGATTTTCGTTACTATACTATTTGATGCATTCTTAAACTCTGTTGGTTGTTACTTATTTCGTGAGGTATAAATAAATATCACTAGTATTTTGGAAATTTCCAAAGTATTTGTATTACCTACGATAAACGTCCGGCAAATTAAATCTTTCACATTTTGCGTTCTAACCAGATCCTTTATTGAGAGTTGTGGCACAGCGCTAAACACGTGGTTAATATATTAAATCTGTGTGTTTGCGAAAATAATGTAAAAGACAATAATTCACAATCTATCGTAGCTCATTTAAATAATTATAGAACTCTTGTATCAGTTGAAATAAAATTATGTCCTTGTTCGTGAGTTCAGCTTTACTTTACAGAATTCCTAAAATCGTTTGTTACTTTGAGTTAGGTAACGTAAAAAAATTAAATAGGCAAATAAATCTTTGAGGTTCGGGTTCGCTTTCGAATATTTGTGTATCAATACTTCCAAGCTCTTTCTTCTCTCCCCCTGTCACACCGTTTCTTCCAGCTAACACTTTTTTCTTCAACCAGCCAGGTTGACACCAAAGTCATTACCGCGTTAATTGCACACGCCGTTGCAGTAGATCCGTTTGCGAGCATTTCCGAGTCAGCTACCGTTCGCGAGCGCAGCGCATTCCCTGATCCGAGCGAGCGGTGAGTGACCCGCGTGGCGCAGGGGGGCGGTTGGGAAGTGGGCGGTCGGCCTCGCCGCACCACACTGTGCCACACGCGCACACCGCGCCACACGGGCCGCGCCGCGCGGCAAAGAAAGGTCGAAGTGTCGCAACGCCACCTCCCGCGCGCCGCCCTGCTCGCCGCGCTGCTGGCCTCCGCGGTCGACGTGGTGTAACACGCTCCGTTCCACGCGCCCGCCAGCCGGGCGACAGCCGCCCAAACCGCAATGATACTGCGAATTCCGTTGGCGGTGCGTATATAGTAGCTGCTGACTAACCACGGGCTTAATCTGTATCGTAGATGTGCTAGTTAGATGTAAGCTGATCAAACCGATATAAGTAGGTATCCCTTGGCTCAACCAAGCTCTTCCTCTCTGGTCCTACACGAGTACCTCGATGGGTGAGGAGTTAGAGTTTGTACTCTTAACTCCCAGTTTCAATCTTGGCTGCGGAAAGAGGATTTTCGCAGCAGTAAAATTCGTTGTTGCTGTGTCGTACTTGCGGTATGTAAAATAATCCTGGCAAAATGCCCAACAAAATGTCTCTTCTAATGAAATATCATTTTCGCCTTACGCTTCAAGTAATTAAGGTATATTATCTTGGCCCTTGTTAAGGAGCTTTCCGGATGATTAATGATGGAGTCAAAATTTGTTTTGGCAACACTGGATGCCAACTAGAAAAATCCCTCCTGGAAACGGACCATTGGATCAATTTGAAACGGACCATTGGATCACCTGGGTGTTACAAACAAACAAAGAAATAAATAATGAATGTGACTGTATTCCTGCTCTATTTGTATCAGGAGTGACCAACCTGTGGCATATGGTGCACTGACTCAAACGAGGAGAAGTTACAAGCAGACTCTTGTAGATCAAGAGTCGTGTAGATCTTGCGAGATCAAGTTGTAACTTGATCTCGCTTCCGGTGCTCCCAATCGCTCAGCGCTCCCACTCCCTCATCACATCCAAGGAAATGCAATTAAGAGCGTGCTCCATGACATAGCCCTCTCATTTCCGAGATTTACAATTCCAAGTTTTACAATTGTGGATAAATGCTCTAATAAATATGTCTATCTTTAACGGGCGCGCACAAATTACCTTAATCAGTTTAGTTGCTTTTTTCCTCCCTTAAGCGAACAAGATTCCATTCCTATGCCTGTTTATACACTTCAAACTCAACCTTTAACGTAAGGTGTGAGATTTGTACGGCCCATTTTTAATTCGTATGTTAAAACATTTAGCTCATGATATGTAAGAGATTGACCTCTTCTGCACTAAACCGTGGTTTACCGATCTCTGACTTGTCCATATTACCGTGTCTCAGAATGTTGCAGTAGTGAATAGTTGAAAAGAAATAATTCAGCCACAGCATCCCTTCCCTCTATCATCTGCAGTGTGAGATTACGTGATGGAACCGTCTCGTTCCCATTAGCTCGATGTTCCTCTGGACTTACTGGCGAATGTTCACATGTTCTATGCCGCGACCACCGCCTTCAATGCGTACACGAGTGCCTCCGTGAATTGTGTGCGATTTGTTATGTTTACGAATTCTAAAAATTAAGCTTGGCAAATGCTGTATTGTATGCAAAGTCTTCAAATATTACTTTATAACCAATTACTCATTTAACTATATCTGTGTGTCCTTTATCTATCGACAAGAAATGGAAATGTTTATTGAAAATAAAAAAAATATATAAAAATGTATCATAAACTGGCAATACATCTGGACTGTTCAAAAAAATTGGTTATCGCGGTAGCTCAGTGGTTAGAGCAACGATACGTAAACCGGGTGTTTTGAGTCCCGATGGGGGACAATTTATTGAACAACAAGTATGCAAATGCGCAAGAAAACGAAAACTTTGAATAGTTACGATTCGTGATATCTCGAGCGTAAATGTATCGGATTTCATCGTCGTCGCGGAGGCTGTCAAGTGTAGAAAAACTTGATCTATTAAGTTTTCTCGGGGTTGTGTGGTGAATCCTAATTATACTGTCACTTTTCATCATACTCCAGTTTTATTTATCACAAACCATCACATTATCCAAAATATCTGAATCATATCATTTGTCACTACACAATGCATGGATCTGTCAACGAATACAATTGATGAAACTAATTATCGTTCAGTGATCCTGTACATGCTCCACGCAAGTGAAAAAGAAAGGGAAAAAAAGATAAAAACCGAAATGATAGGGTGGAACGAGGTGAGAGGCGAAATGTAGCAGCCAGTTCGTGCGTATGCGCTGGTAATCGGAGGGTACATCGCAAAACGGTTTGGCCGTGTGGAAACTAATTTAAAAATCAGGGGCCATTATCGTAAAGAAAGAATGAGACAGCGCGAAATGGCCCCTACGGGCGGTTAGCAAGCGCCGCGAGAGGGGGGGGGGCGTTGTCATGTCACGTAATGCGGGTCCGCGCCCCCAAACCCCCTCCCCACTTTTTTAGGGGAAGGCCACCGTGCTTTTGCATGTACTTGGAGAATTGAGGGGCGCAAAAAGGAGGGCTGAGAGGGGTGATGTACCAAACAAAACAACAAGAAACTTCAAAACTACCCATTATTAAATGAATAAATTAAATGCAAGGAATATCATTTTATTGTATAAAAGAAAATGATTAGAAAACTGAAAAACTAGAAAATAAGTGTTACTAAATATGAAGTATTATTGTAAACACTGTAATTAAATTAAATTCTGTTATATGTAAATACATAAAAAATTTAGACAAATTATATTTTGATGACGTTGACGTAATAAACATTATGATAATCATTAATACGCAACCAAGCATAAAATATAGTATTTACATTGACTAATTAATTTAAATATAGAACCAAAAGGTGAATTTACATTGGCAAATAATCCCCTCCACCGTTGGCACACTTGTATCGCATAAATAGGAAACTGTTTTTGGACTGTCACTATATCTGTGACAACGTGCACAGTCACGTTTCTGTGTCAACATTAACAAGCTAAGAGCTTTGCGTCGAACGCAGACTGTTTCCATTATTTAAGTTTCTGTGCTACTTACGATTATACTCCTTACGATTTCCTAAATGTATGGTTAAACTACTGGAAATCTTGTTGAATGTCATTTGAGATTACTTTAAAACGAACACTTATTCTTCGTCTTGCATTTTTTTTCTCGTTTCTAAAATTTTTGCTTCGATCTTGTGATCCCAGTAAGTGAATTTCTCTGACCAATGAGCTAGAATTTTCTACATAGTGTCTGTCCCTATAGTTACAGTGCTCTTGGTAAAGGCTCGCCGAACTAGGCCGCCATGTTTTTTGAAGTCAAAACATACGTGAGGCGGTGTACCCAGAGTTTAATTGTCTATAACCAGCTTCAAACGTAATATTAGAATACTTTTTTTCCCAGAGCGCGCTGCTTTGACTGCAAAAAAATATGGTTTTAATTTTCTTCAAAGATGGAGGCGCTTCAGCCACTCTATGTAGTATATTCTAGCTCGTTGACACTGATCTTCCTCATTGAAACTATTTCGTTTTTCGTACCTTACGTTTCGCTTCTTATTGGCCTCATATTCCTCTTTCGTACCACTCCTAAGTTCTGCAAGCGATGTCCGAAGTTGTAGTTTGCCTTTCACCGAGGCCCTCGAGGTTCGATCCAATTAGAGCTCACGATGTGGCGAATGTTCAACACGTCTTTAACCTTCTTTTAAGTAAAGCGAAGAGTATCGTTTCCCTCTCTCACCGCCCAAATTGCCTTTCCACATTTCCTCCCTTTTACTCTCCAAAACTATTTAATAAGGTCGTTTTGCACTCGACGGCAGTTTAAAAATAATTATAACTATCACGCAAAACATCAACTTTCTCTACGCTCCAATAGTAATTATTTTATGAACTACTTAGGAACGTGTAGTATCGTATGCATGGAAATGATGAGCTGGTTCCTTATTGCTTTCCTTTCATAGAGTGTAGTAGGTTAATACATTCATAGCATGCAAATCTTGCTTAATTTACCTTCATGAGAGTTATTACACGGGTGCGTATGGTTCAATAAAAGAACTGAGTGCTCAAAAAGGTTTGTTTTGAACACACGTTTATTAAATTGTGCTACCCGTAATTTACAGGAGTTTAAAGTATGTCGACCATGAGCATTTAATCATAATTCAAGCTGAATTCTTAATTACTAAAATCAGTGCTCATTATCGACTTTCACCGAGGTGTGTACGTAGCTATAAAGAAACGTTTTAGTCCTTGAATGAAAAATAAAAGTTTAGTGACAAGATGTAAGTGATTAATGAGTGTCAGTATGTAATCACCAAACTGTAAATGGTGTATTCACCCCCTATATTGTATTTCGTAACGGAAGAAAAATGTTCCTCTTATAACCGCGTATTTTATTTAACATCGTTGTATATACGATCTTGAGAAATTACGTGCTCTATGTAGATTCCTAGCACGCAATTTCTCACGATGACACCCAAAGCATTCCCAGTATTGACACTGCGTTGGGAGTTGAACGAAATGTAATGATCGAAGTTGTTACTATATCAGATGGTTTGATTCAAAATGATGGGAAAATATTGCCAACATATGTGAAGAATTGTGAAATGATGCCGTGCACAGATTCCAGAGTTAAATTGTGACTGTGAGAAGGGACAGAAACAATTAGTAATCAAATCATAACTGAATGTGTAATTACATGTAAAAAAGAAATCGATTCAATCATGACAAAGCCCATTGGTATTACAGAATAGTGGTCATTAGAGAAAAAGAGGTTTGTTTGCCTTATGTAAATTGAATTGAAAATTTTCTCTACAAAGAAACAAGAGGCATGCAAGAGTTCTTTCTATCTTGCTAGTTTGAAACTTTTGAATAATGTCATAAATTAGCGTTAATTTTTCTGAAAGTACAATCGTGAATTGACTTCGTACCTGTGAATCTAGAACATAGGTGTCTTTGCATTTATTTCCCTTCGAGAAGGAAGCATAGGAAGAAGGAAGGTCACTACCATGAAATCGTGTTTCTATGAACATCCTGGAGGGCGATTGTTAACACACATACGATTCGTACTTCGTACTGCTCGTATATCGAATTGTCGCACATCGCGTTCACCTATTGCCGCCCGCAATACAACTCAGGAGCATTATTGGAGTTATCTGGCAGCAATTATTTGAAAATTTGAACTACTGTTCACTTTATAAGACATCGGCGCAAAGAAAAAAATAGATTTGACCTTCCCGTTGTATGGTAAATGGGAATATATGGTTAAATCAAGGACCATAAAAATATCGAGAAACAAGTGGTAGGGAATATCTCATAGGTTCTCCTGTCAGGGTGCGGCCGGAAGGTGGTGTTTACAGGGGTTAGTATGGGTAACACGCCGGTTAAAGCGAACATCTAGAACGGAAGAGCACGCGAGAAAGCAGATGGTGTGCGTGTCTCACAGATGCTCTAGTCCGGATGCGACCAGGACGCGTATAGAGGAATTGTACACGGGGAAAAGCAAAAGACGAGATCGAAAGATCACTCGACAAAGCAAGTGAGTGTGTAGGCGTTCCCTTCCGGGTGCGACCAGAAGGGAATTTATATGGGAGTTATATATGGGGAATTTAGGGTTAAAGCAACTAACTACAACAAAAGATCATTCGAAAAAGCCCGTGTCTTCCGTATCTCTGTAGATGCCCCAGACAGGGTGCGGCCAGAAGACTATGTATATGGGAAATTCCTGGGAATACCCAGAACAAAAGATCACCGGGAAAACTACGTAGCTTGCAAACCTCATAGATGCTCCAGTCCGGGTGCGACCAGATGGACGCGAATAGGTATTATACATAGGTACATTAAAGCAAATGACATCATAAGATTGCCCCAGAAAGCACGTGGTGCGCATATCTCTCAAATGCTCTAGTCGGGGTGCAACCAGAAGGCTATGTATATGGGAATACCTAGAACGAAAGAGCACGTGGCTTCCGAATCTCATGGGTGCTTCAGTCAGGGTGCGGCCAGAAGGAGGCAAAGAGGGAATACACATACGTGTATGGAAAATGTGTTAAAGCAAACTACGAGAACGGAAGAGCACGCGAGAAAGCATGTGGCTTGCGTACCTCATAGGTCCTCCAGTCGGGGTGCGACCAGAAGGCTACGTTTATATGAAATACATGGGAATATCTAGAACGAAAGGGCATCCGAGAGGGCACGTGGCTTGCGTACCTCATAGGTGCTCCAGCCGAAGTGCGGCCAGAAGACTAGGTGTATAGAGATTATATGTGGAAAATAGATTGGCCTTGCACGAAAGGACACACGAAAAAGCGCGTAGCGCGCGTACCTCATAGGTGCTCCAGTCAGGGTACGGCCAGAAGGCTACCTCTATGGGAAATGCATGGGAAAATCTAGGCCGAAAGAGCATCCCAGAGGGCACGTGGTTTGCGTACCTCACAGGTGCTCCAGTCAGGGTACGGCCAGAAGACTATGTTGATGGGAAATGCATAGGAATATCTAGAACGAAAGATCATGCGAGAGACCACGTGGTTTGCGTACCTCATATGTGCTCCAGTCGGGGTGCGGCCAGAAGACTATGTTTTAGGGAAATGCATAGGAATATCTAGAACGAAAGATCATGCGAGAGGGCACGTGGCTTGTGTACCTCATAGGTGCTCCAGTCGGGGTGCGGCCAGAAGGAGGCGTGGTTGAGCCGCCAGGTGGCGTCGCGCTGCACGTCGTACACGACGAGGCCCGGGGCGGCGGTGTCGGTGATGTAGATGAAGAGGTCATCGCAGCCGCCGCCGGGCGCCTCGTCCAGCACCAGGTTGGTGAAGAGCGACTGCAGGCGGCGCACGTCGCTGGGGAAGGTGACGCTGCGCACCAGGCGGTCGGTGCGCAGGTCGAAGGTCAGCAGCTTGGGCGCGCACACGGGCGTGTAGCTGCCCAGGCTGTCCACCAGCCCGGCGTCCAGCACCCACAGTCGGTCGCAGCGGTCGGCGCGCACGCGGTATACGGAGATCAGCCCCGAGCAGTTGGCCTCGGCGGAGTGCCAGCGCCAGTCCGGGTACGCCTGAAACACGCGGATGCAATTTGTATTGCCAATTGTTGTTCGAAGGATTAGCCATCGCCAAAGCATCAAGCGTATTGTTGCCGTTGCATTGTCAATTGTTGTTCGAAGGATTAGCCATCGCCAAAGACATCAAGCGTATTGTTGCCGTTACATTGCCAATTGTTGTTCGAAGGATTAGCCATCGCTGAGGGCATCAAGCGAATTGTTGCCGTTACATTGCCAATTGTTGTTCGAAGGATTAGCCATCTCTGAGGGCATCAAGCGTATTGTTGCCGTTGTATTGTCAATTGTTGCTCGAAGGATTAGCCATCGCTGAGAGCATCAAGGGTATTGTTGCCGTTGCATTGTCAATTGTTGTTCGAAGGATTAGTCATCGCCGAGGGCATAAAGCGTATTGTTGCCGTTGCATTGTCAATTGTTGTTCGAAGGATTAGCCATCGCCGGGGGCATCAAGTGTTCACCCACCTGGCGATCTGCTTCAGATCTATTTGCTTCAGATTCACGCCGTTCAGTGAGGTCAGTCGCGAAAGAAATTACAATGCTGGGCGTTTTAACGGTAGTAAAATACTGTTCTTTTGAAGAAGTAAAAAATCGTATTGTTGTAGATGTTAGTAGTGTTCATCATTTTGACACATCATTTTCAATTCAGAACTAATAGCTGTTCATATCTTTTAGATGCTATTTCTCTCATTGCCTATCGTGTGTGAAATTGTAGCGCACAACAGCGGAACAAGCAGAGAGATCAAAATTGAAGGTAGATTTATTATTATCCGACCGCACTTAAAAGTATTCAATTACAAAGCACAGTATTTACGCACCAAATCCAATTGATTGCATCTCTTTATTAAAGAATGTGGGAGGTGGTATCGGCGAGCCACTTTGATCGGTAGTGTTCCGTGGATTCTCCGATCAATTCCATACGAATACCGTAGCAGCACCCGAAGAACCGGACAATATCCTATCAAACGAGTCAAGATCCGCGTGCTAACTTTCCTTTCTCTTCCTTGACCTATCCTCACCCCTTAATTACACACACATACATTTAAATACATTACTCTACACATGTGGAGAAACCAGAGCGAGTCCTTGTTGTGGTGGTGCCCCGCCGGGGAGGGGGTGGCACTAGGAAGATTTCCCGCTCGCAAACCCCACGCAACCCCACGCAACCCCACGCTACCCCACGCTAACCCACGCAACCCCACGCTAACCCACGCTAACCCACGCTAACCCACGCGACCTCACGCGACCCCACGGCGCCGGATCTCATCACCCAGCGGAGAAGAAACACCCGGATCTGATCTTCATTGCACTACCAAGGCTAATGAATATAGCTGTAGACGTTCTCAGAGAGATAAATAAATCAGTACAGTTGAATAACAGTGTGATGTTCACCTGCAGCTGCGGCGAGGAGCCGAGCGGGCCGTCCTTGGGCAGCCAGGCGAGGGTGGCGGCGACGCCCGGGCGCAGGCGCGGCATCGCCACGAAGATGCGGTTCCAGCCCACCTCCAGCCCCGTGAACACGTTGTTCTCCGGGATGTAGCCGTCGGCCGGGAAGTCCTTGGGCAGCGCGTACGTCAGGTAGTTCCACTGGTAGAGCACTTCCAGGTCGGCGCCGGCCGCCGCGCCCGCCCACGCCGCTGCCGCCAGCAGCACCGCCAGCGCCCACGTCGCCATCTGCGTCTCTCTGCAACACACACACGCACGCAGTTTATGTGTTGATCCTTAGGGAGACTACTTTCACTTTCTTTTGAAGTTTATTTGAATTATAATTTTAAAAACGCCAGTCCGGATGGCCGAGGCAGTTGTGTCGTAGCGATTTCGACCCGAAGGATCGAGTCCCACCTCAAGCATGGATGTATTGTGTTCGTCCTTTCACCCTTAATCATCATCATATCGTGTCATCCTCATAGTTACCATACCGTTTCACCGCAATAGTGGTCGCTAATGACCTAGAAGTTGATGCGATAACAAAAAAAATAATGTTTCCAAAACACAGTGTGGGGGATTCAAATTGTATTCTACAATTGTTGTCTTCTCGAGTTTACGTGAGTAGCCCAAATCCAAAACCCACTAAGTGCATTTTTGCATTGATTTGAGCACACTGCTGTACATATTTCTTCAACGCATACAAGATGGAATAGTTTTCAGGGTGCAAAACCCCCTATAAATTTCTGAAAAGAGGATATAGCGGGTTAATTAACTCTTAGCTCTACGATTGTCCTAAGAATCTAATACTAACAAAATTGGAGGACAAAGCGGTCTGTTATTCCTGTCAAATGTATATTTACAACTTCAGTCTGCTAGGGCTCGTCGGAGTCTCCCCTCTCCAAGAACACAGACTCAGTGATTTCGTACATTAGGTTGGTATATGAGTATACCAAAGGATCAAACCAAATAGCGTCGATGGTTCACTACAGACTAACTCACCTAATCTCCGAAGGTTCGAAAATACTTCGGTTGTTTTGCAACGGATGAGGGGTTCAGAACAAAAGCAGGTCGATAATCAGCATGCTATTGCACTGGTTTGTTCTTGAAGCTTCCGGCAAGAAAGAAGAAATGAAACTGTGGTTCCCAATAGAAGGTCACTCATTCTTCCCACCTGACAGGGTTTTTGGTAACATCGAAAGACAAATTCACAAGTTGAGCGTTATTGAAAACCCGTTTTTATACATTTATCACATTGGGAAATTTGCATCGGTAGTAAGTCTAGGACAAAATGAATGTGCTGTTCAAAATTAGAAAGAATACAAGGCCCGCTCAGTGAAAGTTACTTATACGGGATATTTCGAGATTGAAAAAGAAAAAAAATAATTGTCACGAAAAGCTAAAACAAGATTTGCCTAGTTCCTGTAAGGCCCTTCTACATTTCTGAAGTTGGAAAGAGGAAGGGCGTATTGGATAGATGGAGAATTTCAGCACAGTGAACGGCCCAGCACCAATAACAGCAGGTGTAGAACTTTCAGAAAACAAACTAGGAGACGTCAAAAAGTTTTTGGAGGTCCGCTTCCAAAATTGGGTGCCCAATGACAAATTCAAATTCTACACCGAGGTGTTCGACGAGCAGGGAGCCACTTATAGAGCCACTCCTGTCCTTAGAACAAGAAAGAAGACGGAAGCGATTTTGAGTAGGACAGTGTTGAGATTGATGACACATAATAGCAATTTTCAGCCAATTTCATTTTCTAAAATGTTGTCCATGTTTACTAAGATGCAATTTGAAGCTTATTTTATTTTTTACAATATGTTGTGATGGGGAACGCACAATGGTGTTTAAAAAGATAACAAAAATGAATATTCCACATTCGTTGTTTTTTTAATGTTAAATAAGTCCGTTTTTTCTGGTAAAATAATGTCAAGGTCGTATTTTTATATGCCAATTTTGTAGAATTTTTAGACTTCTCTTCGAAACAAAGCGTGTTCTGTTTATAGTAGCAATAATTAATCCATCCTTCTGTCATTTCTAACTTATCACCGAATGTTTGTTTGAATATTTGAATGTAGTAGGGACGAAATGGTTTACAAATCCCGCCAACTGCGTAAATCGGATGGAAAAACCGCCAAGTCAGTTAACTTAAGATTTTAGCGTATAAAACATAATCGCAGATTGTAGCCATTATTATCAAGTAATTACTTTCACTTCATATATACTTTAAAAGGTTGGAAAGGATGAGCGATTATCTCAGTTTCGTTTGCCATGCAGTTAGCGGCTTTTGCAACTCAGTTACTAACTTGAGGAGTTTCATTTGTTAAATACGAAGGTGGAGCAACAAAGTTCCCTACATCAAGAATCTTCGAAATGGAGTGAGGTATCGGAATGCGGTGTGTGGCAAGTTGTAGTAGGAAATGAGGAAATAACATATTTTGCTTTCTAGTTTATATTTTTTTTAATTCTTTTGAGATGTTGGCACAACTTTGATTTTTTATATTGGGTATTTACATTTTTCTACCCCCGTTCTAAAGCACTCAAAGACACAAGCACACACGACGACAACAGACACAATGACATAAGACATTTTGACATTTTGACATTTTAATATTTGGTAAGGAAATACATAAAAACGTTTTATCAAAAGCTACCTCTCCGCAACGATTATCCCGAAGGTGAAAAGGTGTATTTCTCTGGCTCTGTAGATATAAATCAAATGTGAAACTAAACAACTCAGCGCAAACTACATTTCGAATCCGCAAACGTTGCAAATATATTTTCTTTAGTTTGTCTACTTAAGTTTCTGTTAGAATTCTTATCATTCGTACGTGCTGAAATACTTAGCTTCCTTAAACACACTTTTATGAGAGGGTATCTCTCTTTTGATGGCGAGACTGAAAAGACAATTTCTTCAAGGCTCATGAACATGAAATGTGCATTTTATTACAACGTGTCGGATGAAGCTGGGCTATTTCATCACATTTAGGTTTCTGGAATCTAACATCGTATCTTCTCTTCATGTAGTTTCAAAACTGTACTCTGTTATTTTCTTTGAAATACTCTTGGAACGAGGTCGGGTTCTCATTTGAACAAGTTTTTCGCTTAACCGCATAACATTGCACGAAATTATTGAGTTCGAAGATCGTTAAGTAAGAAAATATCACTTTCAGACAGTTAAATTAATGTGGGAGTTGAAATATGTTCTTTATTTCAATGCCAAATGAACGTAATGAAACTAATATATCACGTGGTCGTCTGGTCAACTACATACGTAAGAATAAGAATGTAGCAAAATCAATTGCTCCAGTAAATGACATTATTATATAATTCACTGCTCCAATATGATATCAATTTTAAGTAGTATCAGGAATAGTAAGGTAGAAATATTCTTTCAAATAAAGTTTCCAATTCCATCCCCCTCTCCCTTACATTTGTCTTCTCTCATTCAAAGTAACTACCCATGACTAAAATCTCGTAATTGCGTATCTTTGAGTACGCTAATTTTCTTACGACGAGAACGAAAAAACAGAGTTAAATTATCAAATGGCATAGGAATGATACAAAGATGATGATGAAGAAAGTGCTCGCGGTTTTTGTTTTGTCATTAAGAAACAGTACCTATGTAGCAGATATTCTCTTGATGTCGAATCGATTAGATTCCTTTGATACAGATAAACGGCTGATGTGGAAAATCGCCGAAGCCATAATGGTTCCCTGTAGGAATTCGAACCTTGAACCTTCCGTTCTACAGAGCGTCAGTTGCGGATACGCAACCTTCTTGTATTTCAATGTCAAACAATCTCGTTGTTTACGAACAGTGGTTTCGAGTCCCATTTTTAAGAGCTCGAGATTGGAACTAATCTAGTTGCCTACCACGATTTGGTGGAATTATGAAATTGAGACGTGCAATCGTGATGGAGAAATACCATAAAGACAATTGTACGACCACCGCAAATTCGACCTTGAAAAAAATGTTCAGAGACCAGGGCCACTTCTTGCTGCTTGATATTAGAAGGTTCACGTCATGCTCTGACAGATTTTATTATTTCGGCGAGCGTAGTCCCAAGTTCAGTAAAACTTCAATGCTGAATCGCAAGGAACCAATATTCCATTTTAGACAAGATTCCGCAGTATACACTGTAATACAGTAGAAATTATGTTTGGAAGGGCCACGATTAATGTTCACTTCAGACAAATTTTTGCATTATATAACACGTTTCACACTGAGCAAGTTTTTCTGTAAGAGGGTCGTGAACAATGAGATCCATGGGAAGTTGTGAAGGAAAATATTAGCAATATTATGATTTGACATTTGGTTGACTACTCCACTCGTGAAATTAAAACTAATAGTGTTTAACTATGCATACAAAATGCCCCAATCAGGGCGGTGTATCTCAAAAGGTTTATTGCTATTTCTGTCCAATTTTTCTTACCGCTTCTACCTACTGGCCCATCATAAACTGTGTCTCATCTATCTTAGGCAGGTGTTGTACATTATCGCTATGTCGTTGTCCTATAAACAGCGTATGTACTCAATATCTTTGATTTTAACATAGCTTCAGTTTTTTTTAATATTTGACGAATTTTGTAACTCTGCGGACATCATTTCACTCATGGATTAGTCCTATTAAATACCACTCTTATTTTGGATATTCTCAGATGAAACATCTCGCCCTTGATTTCGAGTCGGAATTTATCTGACAATTTCCAAAGCATCGTGACATTGCCTATGATAAAACTACTGGTACTATCTTAACTTGCCATTGTTTGACAGAGTATAAGAATGCGTAAGGTTGTTATTGAATTAATTAATTAATTATGTACGAAGTGAGTTCAAAATATCACAACAATGTGATATCTGAGAATTTCATAAGTTTAGTAATATGCCTACTTTGTAATATAGCGTAATACTTCAAGACACATATGGAATTAAGCGTGTTAAGGATAAGAATAGTATTATTCTAAATAGAGAACTTACACGACTAACTCTTATCCAGGATGTGAGTAGAATTCTGTATGTAGTCAGGATGTCCATGTAATAATGTTTCTATTATAGTTTCGTAGGCTTTAAAATTTGTAAATACGTGTTTTAAAGTAAAATATTTTTTAATGCATCATTTGAAATAAATGCTGCAAATCATGATTGATATTTTTCATTTAATACTGCATATTACTTTTTGCAATTGCATCTTGTGACCTAGTAAATGTCATTTTCTGCATTTAAAAACTTTTTTTAGACGAATGAATT